ATAAAAAATATGGTGAGACGTAAATTTCAGAATGCCATACCGGCTCGGACGTCGCCCGGGTTAACAAGGTCCGCACTAGATATTGGAGTTCCTGGATATCTGGTGAAAAATGGGTTACAGGACTCAGGACTGTTGGCTGAGCAACCAGGGCCAGCAGCTGCAGAACTACTGGAAGAAAAGGTGTTTACCCGTCGCAGATACACAGTGATGGAAAACAAAGAAATAATGATCTGTTACTACAGATCAAGTCCAACAAGAAGAGGATATCTAAAACGAATGCACCAGTTCTGGAAAGAACAACATCCAGAATCAGAAATAACAGAACAGAGACTAGCAGATCAACGCCGATTTATAACACGAAATAAAGTATTCACAGAAACAGAATTGGACGAACTGCAAAGGTTTACCCAGGGCAAAGAAATCAAAGCCTTACCAGAAGTAATTCAGAATGTAGAGGCAAACCAGGGGGAGTTGGCAGTGAAGGAATCCAGCAGAGATATACAACTGTTCTCATTTGGAAACCAGGCACCTCTTCCTCAGGAAGAACAAAACCCTCTAACTAAAGAAATAAAAGAATTGAAACAAAGAATAACTGAGCATCTAGAACAGCACAAAAACAACAGAATAAGGCTACCTGCATTGAAGCTTGTTCCAAAGAAACAGCTAGCACAAGCATTAAAAGATGCAAATATTGCAATATCAAGTATAAGCACCAATTCACTGCAAGAAACAAACCAACTAATGTACAGCACAGCTGCAGTTATAACAGAATACCTGGGATGCAAAATCAACAAAGAAGAAAAACAAACAAACAGTGCACCAGAAAAATGGAAGGTTAGACTAGAAAATAAGATCAGCAAGTTAAGATCACATGCAAGCAAGCTAGAACAGATGAAAGAAAAGAAGCTGAAGAACAAGAAGACCAAAGAATACCTAATCAAGAAATACCACTTAGAAACAAGGAAGATCAAGGAAGCACTGGAAATAATAAAGCAACAAATAACAGCTATAGCCAGGAAAATCAGTAGATATGAAGCTCGAATTGCAAACTATAGGCAGAACCTCCAATTTCAATCCAATCAGAAACGTTTCTACCAATCCATCAATGGAGAAACTGCAAGGAATCAGTCAGTACCTGACAAGGAAGAAACAGTGCAGTTCTGGAAGCAGATATGGGATAACCCAAAGAAATACAACAAGGATGCGGCTTGGTTAAAAGAGGTGGATGCAAATAAAACAGAAGTTGAAATGAAAGAACTAGTAATAACAACAAAAATGGTAGAAAAAAGAGCAAAGAAAATCAAAAATTGGTCAGCACCAGGTGAAGATGAACTGCATGGGTTTTGGTTGAAACATCTAACTGTTATACACCCACTCATTGCCAAACAGTTCAACAATATACTACAAGGAGGAGAAATTGAAAAGTGGCTAACAACTGGGAAAACCTACCTAATAATGAAAAATCCAGCAAAAGGGGCAACACCAGGTAACTACAGGCCAATTACCTGCTTACCAACAACTTTCAAATTACTAACTGGTGTAGTAGCTGATGCAGTGCAACAGCATCTAGTTGAAAACAATCTCTTTCCACCTGAGCAGAAAGGAAACCGCCCCAACAGCAGAGGAACAAAAGATCAACTCCTCATAGACAAAATGATCTTGGAAAACTGCAAGAGAAGGAAGACCAACCTGAATGTGGCATGGATTGACTACAAAAAGGCATTTGACTCTCTGCCACATGATTGGATAATAAAGTGCCTAGAAATAACAGGAGTCAGTAGAAACATCAGAAAATTTGTGCAAAGATCGATGGCACAATGGAAGACACAGTTGCAGATCAATGGTGAGAGGCTGGGAGAGGTTAATATCAAGAGAGGAATATTTCAAGGAGATTCATTATCACCATTACTATTTGTTATTGCACTGTTTCCTCTGTCAACAATACTGAATAACTCAGGACATGGCTATCAAACATCAAAAACATCTGCCAGACTATCCCACCTCCTTTACATGGATGATCTGAAGCTGTATGGAAAAACATCATCTGAAATAGAATCGCTGCTCAACACTGTCCGTATATATAGCCAAGATATTGTAATGGAGTTTGGCTTGGACAAATGTGCCACACTTACTATCAAACAAGGAAAAATAGTGAAAACTGAAGGAATCAAGATGCCCCACGAAAATAACATTAAGAGTCTGGATGAGGAAGAGTACTACAAATACTTGGGTATCCTTCAAGCTGACAACATCAAGCACACTGAAGTCAAGAAAAAGATTAGAGGTGAATACATCAAGAGAGTGAAGAAGATCTTAAAATCCAAACTCAATGGAGGAAATACCATAAAGGCAATCAACACCTGGGCAATCCCAGTCATTAGGTACACAGCTGGAATAGTGGACTGGACTCAAGCAGAACTAAAAGCAATGGATAGGCAGACCAGAAAAATAATGACAATGAATCATGCCCTTCATCCACGCAGTGACATTGATAGACTTTATCTACCAAGGCAAATAGGTGGGCGTGGAATGCTACAAGTACATCAGATGGTTGAAGAAGAAAAAATGGCTTTGGAAGAATATCTGAAGAACAATGATGAAGATGCACTGAAATTAGTATATCAGGAAGGCTTACTAACTACTGGAGAGACCAAACTGGCCTACAAGAAAGACCAAATGAAGAACAGAATAGAGGCATGGGAAGACAAAGCACTACATGGCCAATACATGAAAAAAAT